TTTCAATTTCACGTAATATTTATGTTTTTAAACTTTTTAATATAAATTTTTACTCGTGGAACGTTGAACTTTAGTTCAAATATTAATTTGATAATATCACTTTTACATCAGTCTATAGTTATTTTTTTCTATGTTCATTAATACACATTCATTTCAGCTGTTAATCGTTCGAACAAGTTCTTGTTACAGAATATACATATAATCATCGAAGAATCGAATTGGAAATGGTACACGGATTCCATCTTGATCGTTCTTAGAGAAATATTTCATACAATTTTATTTATCGTCTGATTTATGTTTCAGGAAAACATCGTGGGATTAATAAAGACACCAAGAAGAAAATATCTTTTCATATTTATTTGTTTTATACGAGTTATATATTTTATTGGATATGAGTTTTTGTTTTTGGAAAAACATCGTGGGATCGACGAAGACACCAAGAAGAAAATATTCCCTCATATTTCTTCATGTTTCTACAGATTGCGTTAGAATATACATACATAAGTACAAATGTATACAGGGCGTTCTCCTGCCGTTTCTGAAATATTACCGAAACGTGTGCGTAAATTTAAGTGGGAATGATTAATATTAAGATACATATTAGTATTCGAATATGCAAGGTCCATACGTGCAGTTGCACATTTCTGGTTGGATCTTCAGGATCCTTTCTTCGTTTTGTACGAGTGTCTTGTTTAGGCACTGTCATAATGCAAGTATTTATTTAAGAAGGAACAATTAATAATAAAGTACATATTGATACTTTAGTAATCAGGATTCGTACGTGCAGTTGCACATTCCAATTTCGTTTCTAGAAAACATGTGTATCATCTCACATGCATTGACATTTTGTTAGGTTCTTCGTCTCTTGATTGGCCAGTTCTTTTAAGAACTCTCCTTTTCTAGCTAATTTCTAACTTTTCGATAGCTTCTCCATCAGATAGGTATTCGATAGGTATTGGAATTCCTCGCCAAAGGAAGGGTGGTTGGGGCGAGGCTAGGGTGGGTCTCCAGTCGCAGCAACCTCCACGTGGTGAGACCCGGGTCATATTATTTACTATGTAATTAATAATCATATTAATTACATAGTAAATAATATGAGCTAATGGCTGCGTTCTTCTAATAGTTCCACATATCATGTTCGTCCTGGTGTGCGGTCTGATAACACTGATTTCGAGTCGCAAATACGTTTGTTGCCGAGTTAGTTTTTAAAGAAATAATATATTACAATTTAAAATAAAAAATAGAGGATTTCCGGTGTATTTATCAATGAGATCCTTACGTATTTTAATAATTTTGAAATCTTTAAATAATCTCGATCGATTGGTGGTTGGTTATTCCAATGAAATTAATCGATTAATGTCCAACGATGGACCCTACAGCTTTAATTCCGTTGAAAAATAATAAAATTTATGTAATTTTATTTTCTCTCTCACTTCCTCTTGTGTTAATTTCGGAATCTGTTGATAACGTTGCGAGTGATAGGAAAATGGTAATGGGGTCCCGGGAGCCCATAAATTCCGGCCGAAAAATTCCATTAGGTGAAAGGTCTATTCATATAAGTACATACATACCTCGTCTGTGTTTACACCTTATGAAGTTTCGTGGGCCAATCTTACTGCCATACCGACTTGAAAATTAAGAGATGATTTTAGTGTTCTTTTCTCACGGATAGCTGTCTAGAAAATCGAATTGGGGAGAGGATTTTTCAACGAGCTAGGGGTAATTAACAGTTATTTATACCCCTTTCTAAGATGCCGGAAGTTTGCTGTAGAAAAAAAACTAAAACTTTGATTCCTGGACCGCTTCGCTGAACCAATGTCACCTAAAGGTATGTATCAACGTCACTGCTGGTCCATCGATGACCATAAGTTGAGTGACCAACGATCAATTAAAGCCATTGCGAAATGAACGACTAAAGCCTATGTATTGTAAATAAGTACAAGACTGATGGTCAGAACAGTCTGAAACAGAGTGGAAAGAGCAGCGGGAGTCATCTTTTAACCACCCGTTTCATATCTCGACAAATTATTTCGCGAAAACTTAATGTTTACGTAAACCGTAAATAGGTCCTTTGATTATTCATATGCCGCACATTGTTAAGAATTGTTCAAACTATTTCGTTGAAATGTGAAACGATGTGTTAAAAAAAATCGATACGATATTACGCATAATGTAATTTTGATGTGTAAGTAAATTAGTCGATCGTTTGAAAGTGTGTAAGCGTGTCATTGGCACGGATAAGAGTTCGTACCATTGAACGCGACGACACATGCATACGTAAATAGGACGATTAGCTGGCATAATCGAGACGAAACGAGTGAAATTCGCAGAAAGCGAGTCCAGTATCGCGCACGGAATGCTGTGCGCGTCGCGTCGCGTCGCGTCGCGTCAGTGAACAACACAGGCGGGAAACATTCGAAACTAGATCACGAGAGCCACGCGACACCAGTTACAAGGAATCGATCTACGATAACCAGAAAAAAACACTGTAAAGAAGGATGGAAAGAGGGGGGATTGAGCGATAGAGTGAATACGAAATGTTAAGAGATTGATCGTAAATGAACCAAGAAACGCCAAGGAACGATCGCGAGGAGAATAAAGATCAAGTCACGCTGAAAGTCACGTTGAAACCACGTACGATTTTTCTCGATTAAAGAAATTCTGTCCAATAGTTTCGTTAACTTGCTGGCTAAACAATTTTCCCACTTATGCCCATTTAACATGCCATTTAACATGCCATTTAATGGTCAAGGACCATTTATTGGTAAAAGTTGATTCGTCGGTAAAAAAAACATTGCGAGAAAAGAATTTATTTCGTTGTAATCGTTGGAATAGCTATTCATAAAAAGTGGCGGAATTCTAAAAGTCAGAGTCGTAAACTTTACGATGCAAAAGGACATGGAACGAATGAAATTATTCACATCCAAGTAGGTACATATTATCTAAATGCTTGTATTCCCTAAGAATACCGGAAAGATGTTCAATTTGTCGATAACTTATCCAAGGAATCATGATTTGCTTCTGCAGTCAAAACAGCAATTTCTTTCTGACTGTTCTCCAGCAGCAACTTTAGGTCGCTTCTTTTTAAACCTACGAACTCTACCGGTCTCGCAAAACCATTAAACTATTCGATCGAAAGTTTATTGTCGGAAAGGATGATTCCTTCCATTGTCAGTATACTTTTCCACCTACGTAAGTAGTACATACATACAATCGAATACATACTACTTGTACAAAGATTCATTCACGCATTCTCTATAGGATTTACAAAATAACTTTCGACAACGACAGAGTAAATATTCTTGGACGATTAGTGTATCGTATCGTATATTGTAAAGCTTATCTAAATCTGTTAATAATATCTTTATTATATCTACGGTATAAGTATGGTATATTAACTATCACGGTACTTTTTTTTTCTCCGTGAGATTTTTCTTTTTCGTTATGGGTAATCACACGTTTATGTATATTGTACAAAGTACACACGTATCTACGTACATATTACTTTTGCGTATCATTATTATAACCAAACACTAGTCTATGCGTAGACTATAATTGTTTACAAATATACTTGACTGTCCAAGTATGTAATAGCTCGCATACGTCACTAGCGCTATTTCAGTATCGGAATGTTAAGTCGACGTTAAAATTAAACGTTGCTACATAATTTGTGAACCTATACAAATAATTTGTGTACTTTTGTCAACTAAATTGATGATATAATAGAATATCAAAGAAAATATTTACATACTTGGTTCGTTACGAATAAAATTACACTATGAGAAAGTAGAAATTGTACAGTGTCGGAATATTAATTTGACTCGGTGTATATGAACGGGCCGGGCCCGGCCGCATGGCCTCGAACGAAATCTTAACTGCAAAAGTTATCTAATCGCAGCGTCATTAAATACATACGTTCGAAATTTATCGCGTTCGCGGAAATTTCATAGCCTCTAATCGTATTTTCTTCGAAATTGTGTGTTTATATTTCGATCGAACAGGAACGATGGTCGCAGGACGTGATTTTCTCATCGCGTGTTCGCTAAATAATATCTCGTTACGTAATTTACGTCGAAAAATGTGGATATTTCACGGTCGTTTCTTTCCCATCGTATACACGTGCGGGCTTGGTAACGGGCTTGGTATATTTCATTCTTACTTTCCAACGTCGAGTCAAAACGAAAAAAAAACAAACGCTCCTAATTTGTTGCTTGTAAGTTTATTCGGAAATTGGGTAAAAAAGTCGTATACGTACGGGAAAGCATAAAGTGAAAAGAAAGAAGGAAAAATAAAACAGGCCATATACAATATATTTATATACATTATGTATATTCGCATCAGGCGAGAGTAAAAATCAATGGATCAGACCACATCTCGTCGAGTATATGTAGATATTCGTGTTCAAGTTATTATTACAAATCGTAAAGAAGAGCCGCATTAAATAAGATATTTCTAAATGTTTGATCGATGTTTGGATTCGAATATGAATAGGCATATTTACGATACGTAATTTGTTATAAAAGACAATATGATGGCCGATACGATAGCCGATACGATAGCTGTAAGTTTGTATCCTTTTTCTTTATTGAAATATCGAGGGAAACGTTTATGCTGTTTAAAGGTTGATTTTATCGGAGTTTATCGTGATTTAGGTTCAATCCTCGATTCAACGATCGCAAGATCGTTATTCGCGTGATAGAGTACAGTGGTTACAGTCGCGAATTCAGGAAACGTATGAACGAAAAGAGAGGAAAATGGAAAATGAAAAATGGGAATGCGTAGCCGCCTTTGGATGAGTAGGCAGAACCCGTGGTGAGGCGTGACAGTACCGACAACGTCGGTGTCGTCGGTGTCGTCGGTGTCGTCGGTATCCTGTCGAGAAGAACCGAGTATGGCCGAGCGTAGCCGATAAAGCACGAGGCAACAGGCGGCTCGTTTTAAACCCGTGGCCTACGGGGAGTTTTCGAAGCGGTGGGCTGACAGTAAGCCGTTGGCCTCCATGGTGTGTATGTCGCGTTGAATTTAAACGATTCTTCTTGGTGGATGTACGTTAACTGTCGCGCGTAAATTTTCTTCCGTTTCTAGATTCGTTGTCTCGATATTCGTTCCGTTTCGAGAAAACACACACACGCACACACACACAGTTTGTTGGCATATTTTTGTACCGTAATGTCGTGACAAGTGATGCGCGAGTGCAACTCGAAGACATTTTTCGATAGGTATCGAGAATTTTCAATGTTTTTCGAGTAAGGTAATTTGCAGGAACACGTGTGCTCGAAATTGTTGCCGATTCGTTGGAGAATCGAATCAAGTTGAAGGAAAGTTTATTGAAAAGAATGAGTTTCGGAGGTGATTAAATGGTTAAACAGTTTGTCGGTTTCGACGTAAAAGACGTAGTAGCACGGCAGACGCGATCCATTCGAAATCCCCGAGTAAACATACAGTGTCGCGTCCAGGACAAAGTGGTTTGTGTTTGACGACAAATATCGAGTGGTTTGGTCAAGCTTGCTTATACGCTCGCAAGAGTTGTGTCCCCTTCGTAGCTAGCACGTTATCAGGCGTTTGTCTTTTGACATTAACAGCGCCAAGATCGGACTTGCTATCGTGGGAATGCGATTTCCATCTTGAGGAAATCCGATGATGGCGGTTCTCGGATTTAAAAAAGAGGCATTTTGAAAGACAAGTTTTCCCCGTAAACTAGTTTTTCGATGAAATCTCCAAAGATGACAACACCGGTGGAGCGTGGTCTGATCGTTGTATCGGTCTTGCTTACCATTTGCCAGGCCAATGAATTAAAGGACTACTGTTCGATGCATAAATTTGACAACTTGCCAGGCGGTTTAAGGTTCACGAAGGAAGTCGTGACGACAGAATATGCAAACATCGGAACATTCAAAGCCCTTCATTGCTGTCTACGGGGCTATAGAAGCATCGAATGGTGAGTAAAAGTTTCGTTTCACACGATTGTTTTTCTCTCTCTCTCTCTCTCTCTCTCTCTCTCTCTCTCTCTCTCTCTTTATCCGAATCGAACAGATCGAAGCGTTGTTAATTTTCAAGATCGGCGTTGTTGTCTCGGATTTGAAAAATATGTAATAAGAGAAGCAGAAAACGCGATTCTTTGAAAGAAAGAAAGGAAGGAAGGTTAATAAAAGCGTGTCGAGAGATGGTCCGAGTGGGAATTAACGCGCTGCCCTATGGCGGGAAGATTGCTAATTTGCATTTTTCAGCCGTGTTAACGTTAGATAACCGAGCGTGTCGTGGTCTCGACGAACCGTAACCCGAAGCGTTTCAGAATTTCCCATAGTTTTATTCCCATCGTTCGAGTGAGGTTTTCGAGGGCCGATTTGAATGGCATGTCTAACATTCGTGCAAGCTGATGCAATTTCTCGGGATTTTTTTGCTCGAGTTGGCGAATACCTGGAAACCTGCGCTTCTCGCTCTCGTGGAACTAATCCATTTATGGAACCAACTTTTTCTTTCTCTCTCTGTCGCTCCGTGGTCGTGTCGCTGGAGGAATACGTTAAACCGGTTATTAGTCCGGCATACGGCACGCTCGATTCGAGCAAACACGGTTTCCGGCAAAATGCATACACGTCGAAACATTAGCGAGAATTCGCGATCGTGTCAAGCTAAGGAATTTTCATGCTATTGAAAATTGGTATTTATTCTTTGGCATTTATCGAGTGTTGAGTGAAAGATTGCGTCGTGTAAAGAGAACGATCGATCCGATCGTTGAACCGATATTTGCAAAAAGATCTCCGAAAAAAGCAACCACGGACATACCGTGGAGGCCGAGTCACGTCGCGCGGTAATAACGTTTCCGCGAAACGCTTTTTTCTTCCACGATAAATGTAAAAGAGTGCGCGTTTGGTCGGTTGGTTGGTTGGTCGGTCGGTCGGTCGGTCGGCCGGTCGGTCGGTCGGTCGGTCGTTGGCTCTTGTACTTGGTACAAGAGATGAAAATCGCTATAGGGGGTCGCAGTTGGACTGTCCCTTGGTAACTGGAAGGCGCAGGCTAACAAAGAAACGGTTCCGAGAAGCGTTCTCAAGGGCTCGGCCACTGTCGATTTGCCCGAATCCCTTTCCGTCCCGGGAACTTTATTATTCGTGGGACAAAGTGGGACTCCACCTTCTTCATTGTGGTTATCCAGGTGTCAAACGGTGTATTTGTTCCGCGCATTGATCGCTCGAGGAGAAACCGTGCTCGGTTCTGTAAAAGTTTTAACCTAACGGACGTGTGCCGTCCATGCAAGGACTCTTTTGGCCCGTTCACACCTGTTACACGTCTCTATCGAGCGTGTCCATCTTGAAAGCACAAAAGAGGATGCGTAGTCGTCGATGAACACGCACCATGTTCATTATACGAGCATCGACTCTCTAAGCCGACCGTCGATGTCGATTTCTCTTGCGTGTTTTCACGAAAAGAAAAAGCGAAATTGTCGATGCGATGACAAACGTCCCGGTAGGCGATGGTGTTTGTTTGCGATCGAATTTAACTGGCGAATAAAGGACATAAATTGAACTTATTTTCTTTGGGCTTTCTTTCTTCAGTCAGTCTGTCTGCCGCGGGAATTTGAAAATGACCGCGTGTTATCTACGCATGCCAGCAGCTGAAATTGTAAATGGCGAAAAAATTGGTTAAACTTTGCGCAAATACGCAATAATGGTTGAAAAGTGAAAGGTGGACTGTACGCACGACGCCTTTCCTTTCTATGTTTCGACATTGTTATCGGCCATTTACACGATTATAACGAGATCGAAATGATGGGCGTAAAATACATAAAGGGAAAATAGTATCGAAAGTTTGTGTACGTATGTACGTGTATCGAGAAAGGTAAAAAGTTTTGTTGGAGTTTGTTGTCGTCGTTCGTGGCGAAACAAGATTATCGTAAGCGGGCGAGATTCGGGCGAGATCCGGGCGAGATTCGGGCGAGATTCGGGCGAGATTCGGGCGAAAGTTATCAAGGGAAAAGATTAAAGCGATGTACTTTTGCTCGACGAACAGAACATAAAGAACAAAGGATGAAATTTAAGTAAAATCGTTGACGCGTGAACGTTCCTCGAGCAAACGCAAACGATGCACGTTCACTGGTAGAAAGTGGCGCTGCAACCAGCGGCAACATCCGTTGTGAACGCGCGGCTCTTTGAAGCCTGCATGCAATGTACCTACGTATACAGGACGTAGAAAAATACGAGCAATAGAATTGGAGTCCGAGTGATTTTTAGACTAGCAAAGATACGCCTCCGTACGATTTTGTTCGGCAAGTTACAGCAGTTGAAAAACCGTTGCCGGTCATCGTCGTAATATTACAACTTAAATAATAGGTTAGGCATTGTTAGATTTTCAACGGCGGTTTATTCGCGTGGGATCGTTGCATATAATTTGCGTTTCAGCGAGTCACGTAACGAGGAGGATAAGACGCGTGCTAGCCAGAACCGGAACCTACCGTAACGAAAAATCCTCGTTCCGAGTACAACGTCGCGTCGCGTAGCGTCGCGTAGCGTAGCGTCGACAATGCGTTCTCGGCGTTGGTCGTTTTGTCAAGTTCGAACGAGACACTCGCTGAGTCGTTAGGGATAACGATGCTGGCGTGTGGAACGCGAACGAGGATCGGTGTCCCCTTGCTCGGGGCACGGTTTCGTCGACGTAGCGGAAGACGGTAATCGTTTTGCGGAAAGTTGTTTCCCAGTTGTCGGCTGACATTCGCTCCAGCTTAGCGCATGTTTTCGCAACACGCGACTTGTTTTTGCGTTTCGTTTCGGAATCATCTTTGCTCGCAACGGCAAGTTTAGCAAAGAAAAAGAGCTCCTCTTTGGCGGTAATGATGCAGCATGTAACGTAAGTACGAGTATGACACCGACTCGTATTTATTTCCAACCGTCGCGTCGTAAAGAATCAGAGTAGGGAAAATGAAAATTGTGCGGCGTGATGGAACGAATTTTGCATCGTAGTTTGCATGGTAGGAGAGGCGCGCGCGCGCGAGAGACAGTCGTGGGAGAGTGCATAGGGCACGTAAGTTTGAAACGACAGAAGTCGGCGTGGCCGTCGCGGCCGTCGCGGCGCCGCGAAGGAAAGTTGGAGGGCACGTAGACGCGTGTGTCTGGCTGCGTTCGCTCGCAGGTGCCCTCGAGGTCTGGATAATGACAAGTCAGAGAAACAGAACCGTAATTTCGCATCGGGAAAGGGACGCGCGGCACTTTGCCGTGGCTTCTCTACTCGCTTTGTCCGTTCTCAGAATGCGTTCGGGCGATTTTCGAAACGGATGGATCGGATTCCTAGGACGAGGGCCTGCTCGATGCATCGCGGCAAATTGACCGTTCCACCGACCAACCACTGATTACGATTCTCCGAATACGGTCGAATAGAAATGCGATCGAGCTACGCGACAACGACGTACTCTTTAAACAATTTCATTTTAGTAAGGTTAATCGGTCTATCGATGCCGACTCGCCAAATAAAGTTTAAGCAAGCAAACGATCGATTCGATCCCGCGCGCGCATACTGGCAGTTGGAAGCTCGTAAAATTAATTGATTGTGATTGATTTTGATACAAGTATCGAACAGTGTTGTTGTTGTTGTTGTTGTTGTTGTTGTTGTTGCGCGTTGAACGAATGGGGAAAGAAAATGTTGGTGGAAGGAGCGTGAACGCGTGACCGGGCCGTTCGGTATTTCCTCGAATTTGTCCGATAGTTCCATGCGAGGGTGAAATTTTTCGCCGATATCGGAGAAAAAGTTTTTCGATCTAGCGACCGCGCACGACCTCCTCTCCGTGTCCGTTTCGTTTCTCGCGAACGCGCCAGTCAACTCCTACCAACAGTTTTCTATTCTCTTGCTCTTTTGCTCTTTTGCTCTTTTGCTCTCTCGGTTCGTGTTACGCGATACGCGTGCACCGTGGCACGTGAACGCGCTGGCAATGCGATTGAATTTAAGGAAAAGTACGGCTGCGGGTGTGGAAACGGGATCCCGACTCTCGGTCTCTCGGTTTCGCGGTCTCGCAGTCTCGCGGTCTCGCAGTCTCGCAGTCTCGCAGTCTCGCGGTTTCCGAGCGTTATCGATGCAAATGCAAATGCAAATGCGAATGCAAATGCAAATGCAACTGCAACGCGTTGCACGAGCGGAGCTGCGAAGAAGGAAACGTCGTCGTGTCGCCGTGTCGCCGTGTCGCCGCGTCGCCTTTACGATTACAAGGCCAGACCCGCGGTGGAAAAAGTTTAGCTTTCCAGGAAAGAAATGGTTAGGTTACTTTTTTCCGTCGAATCGATCCTCGATCGCGCTCGGAGGAAACGTTTGCTTCGCTCGGCGATTCGATCGCGCGCGAAACAAACTCTCTGCGGTTTTACGAACAATGGGAAATGATAGCACCGTGTCGTCCGCTCCTTTTCAGACCTCCGATCGATTCGCGATCCACGATCCACGATTCGCCACTCGGAACCCTCTGCTCTGCTGTTCTTTGGTGAACAACGCGCGCGTAATTTCCAAGCGCAACGCAATCTTTTTGCGCCGAGAGCGAACGCGCGTACAGCGAAGCGTAAGAATTCGCGGAATTATTTCTCGTCACCTTGACGTGCATCCGTCGTGACTTGCGTACGGTCACGTTGCCGTGCGTCTCCGTTACTAGGAAAAACACGTTAAAAGGTAACGGTACATTTTGTAGGAAAGCGTAGGAGGCGAGCTTCGTCGACTTTACTTTCGTTCTCGGTCAGGATCGCTCCTCTCGATCCTCGAATCTTCTCGTTATTCCGCCTGGAAACGTACGATCCTCTCGATAATGTCTTGTACCGTGAATCCCACGGATATTTAACACTCTTTTGTCTCCGTTAATTGCGTCGGGGCATTCCCGTTCGCAACGCCAAGGTCGCGTTTATGTATATTTTTACCTTCGCGCCCAACTGTCTCTCCTCTCGTTCGTAATCCTCGACTATATTTAACGGTTGCGTA